GACTGAGCTTTGATCTCTGCACTGCTGGTTTCTGACTCTCCCTGTTGCCTGTGGTTTCTCCCTTGCAGGGCACAGCTCTTTGTCCCGGCCCAAGTCTCTGCTGGTGTCCTCTCCCTCCACGAAGCTGCTCACGCTGGAGGAGGCGCAGGCTCGGACACAGGCCCAGATCAACTCTCCCATCGTGGCAGACAGCAAGTACATAGAAGTGGGAGAGGGCCCAGCAGCTTTGCAGGGGAAATTCCACACAGTCATAGACTTCCCATCCGAAAGGTAGGGGCGAGTTTCTTCCCAGCACGTGTCGTAACGGGTTTGTTTTGATCACAGCAAAAACTTGCTGATGCTGACTGGTCACATGTGAAATACTGGAGCTGTTTTTCCACCTGCTTTGGACCCTGTGAGGATTCAGTTTAGTTTGCTTGTGCACCACTCCCTTCTTTCCAGCAGGGTTATCATTAACTGTATAAATCCTGTATAAATGTTGTATTGGTGCACAGGGATGACCGTACCAGTCACACAGAAGGAGGTGTAAACAGAGTGACCCTGTGGAGACATGGGGGTTTTCCAGGTTTCAGGACTATATAAGTGCCTGTAACATCTCCAGGTTGCTCAAAGTGGAGCAGTTGCACAGGCTTGGTGACGCTAGAAATGGCAGTAGGAGGAGGTGAAGGTGATTTTACAGCACAAGCCTTTATGGCTGCACAGCTCCCCAGAGAGCTGAAAATCCATCCCTCAGCTGCTGTGCTGGACAGGCAGGAGCCTTTGCTCACCTGCATTGCACCTGCATCACAGAGTTGGGTGGAATTCACCCAGCAAGACTTCAGGGCTGAGCTGCAGGAATGAAAAACCTCAGCTGTTGAGAAGAGGGAGTTTCTAAGCAGAAACTTGAGAGTGCTGATGACAACCAACCGGCTTCCCCCTCCATCTGTGTGCTCTGTTTGCTCCCCCAGAAAAAGGCCTCCCAGCAAGATGAAGAAGTCTCCAGTGGGCAGCTGGAGATCCTTCTTCAACCTGGGCAAATCCTCCTCCGTGTCCAAGCGCAAACTGCAGCGCAACCCCAGCGAGCCCTCGGAGATGAAAGCCATAGCCCTGGCAGGTGAGCTGCAGTCCCCTCCCAAAGTCCAGGCTTGAGCAGCACACATTCAGCGTGCTGCTATCTCCTTCTAGTGTCCAAGCCGTGCATGACACTCCAGGGAGCTGCTCCTGCCCGAGTGGATGTCGGGCAGCTCCGGAGCCTGACAGAGCTCACACCTCTGCGGCTTTGGAATGACGATGTGTGGGTGCTGCTGGAATAGGCCTCAGAATAATTCCTTCTGGCACTCTGATTATAAAATGAGAGTACAGCTCTGACTCCCTTTGCTGCTCGCAGAAGATAAAATTAGGGAAAGGCACCTTCCTACAAACACTCTCTGTACCAGTGTAATGAGAACACATCCAACAACACTCAGTAGCCACAGCCAGGATATGTGGGCTGAATCCTCAGCCTTTTCCATATATAATTTCCTGCCTTTTTCCAAATTTAAAAATAGCAGCAATGTGTTTTTGAGGTAAAACACACCACAAATCCCAAAACGTGGGACAGTGAGAACTTTTATCCCATCCTTTCCCAGGTCCCATTTTCAAATTATAACCCTCGCACACCATAAGTGCCCTTTGGGACTGTCTCCTTGGAGAGTGAAGTTGTGCTTGTTCAGTGCCCGTAAAACAAGTTGCGAAAATGTTATTTTCTTCCCCATTTTTGAGTAGTTTTCCTTTGTGGCAGGAGCCAGCCAGTTACCATAGTTACATCCCAAGTCTGTAGCAGGATGATGTGGAGAGTTGTCTCCTGACCTGTCACCTACAGCAGGTGCCATTTGGGTGGGTTACCTTTCCCAGGACTCCAAAATGAGCATCAGAAACCCACCCCCAAAACAAAATTCCTCTCAGGACGGTGTTGCTGGAAACCTGTGTGTGTTTTTCCTGCCATCATTACACAGCCCAATATAAACCACTGTCACAACTCAGCCTTTCCCTGTGTGGATTCCTTCCCTCAGGTGGACGAGGAGACAGCGGGACCCTGCGCTCGGCTAAAAGCGAGGAGTCTCTCACCTCCCTGCACGCCGTGGATGGTAAGGCAAACTCCCTCCTGCACTTCTAATAAACGTGGATTAAAGAAGGCAACCTGACATTCCTGGGCTCAGATACACCACAGGGCAGCTTTTCCACCTCTTCAGGGAAAGGTGGACTTGCTAATTAACAAAGCTGCCCAGCACAGATGGGTGTCACAGAAATGCTCTTCGTGCCTTTTTTTTCCTTCTGAGGTAAAAAAACCAAAAAACCAAAGCTCTTGCTTTAGTGCTGCTGGCACTGCATATGTTCCTGCCTTGCCACCTTCCCCTTTCTATTCCAAGGCTGACAAGGCAGCATCATGAAGGAAAATGCTCTCTGTCCTACAGCACATTTAAACTGGTCCTAGTCCTCCCTCTCCCTAGTCCTACAGCACATTTCAACTGGTTTTGCTTGTACACCCAGCTTAGTTTCAACTAACTCAGAACTGGAACTGGTGTAAAAGAGTTTAAACAAACGTGATAAACAGTTACTGCTAACAGTGTGACTTTTGGGTGCAGGGCTTACCAGCTGAGCTTGAGCCCCCCCACCAGGCCCTGGCCTCCTGGACAGCGGGATTTTGTCACTAACCCACAGCTATCTCCTCATTCGCAGGTGAATCCAAACTGTTCCGGCCCCGAAGGCCCCGGTCCAGCAGCGATGCCCTCTCTGCTTCCTTCAACGGGGAGCTCCTGGGCAACATGAACCGCTGCAACTCCTACGACAACCTGCCCCACGACGACAGCGACGGGGACGAGGGGCTCATCCACGTGCCCGCCCTCATCTCGCCCCGCTCCTCCGAGGACGTCGACCTGAGCCCCCCGGACATCGGAGTCGCCAGCCTGGACTTTGACCCCATGTCCTTCCAGTGCAGCCCCCCCCAGGCAGAGTCCGAGTGCCTGGACAGCAGCACCTCCCTGCTGGAGTCGGTCGACATCAATAAGGACAAGCCAAGCCTGCTAAAGAAGGATTTAGAATCAGGCAGCCAGTCCCAGACCCCAGGCAGTGCCACGAGCTCTGAGCCGGTCTCCCCTTTCCAGGAGAAGATGAGTCCCTTCTTTACGCTGGAGCTGAGCCCCACGGAGGAGCAGCCCTGCAAACCCCTCACCTTCTCACCCAAGGCGGGCCGAAAGCCCATCAAATCTCCACCGCTGACTGCTGAGCCCACCTGCTTTACACTGCCCAGCCGTGCGCCAGAAGCCGTCGGAGCAGTGCCCATCACATCCAGGAATTCCTCTGCCTCCAGCTGGAGCAAAGGGATTGGCATCACTGAGATCACAAACAGGTCCCCAACCCAGATGTCCTTGCCCCTGAAAAGCAGTGAAACAGGAGCAGGGGAAGGAGCCCACCAAGAGCTTCAGCATTCCCAGCTAGTGGCTGCTGGCAAGCCAGAGTTGCCAGAAGAAGGGGAGAGACCCATGCCAAGCAGTCAGACTAAGACTGTACCCACTGGACACACACAGCCAGGTACAGTGCATTTTCCTCCATTCTTTCTTTAAGTTCCCGAGGGGACCTGCTCTCAGAACCGCCCTCCTCTGCGTGCCTTTTAGGAGAGGGGATTTGCCCATCAGTTCTGATCACGAGTGTCTTGCAGGGCTGTGCAGATCAGTAGGGTCTTAACCTCTGCCTTCTCCCTACATCACACAAAGCTCGGATAATTTTCCATAATGCTTTATATGCCACTTTTTTTTTCCCCCCATCCTGTCATGCGTGAAAACCTCTAGCATGTCCTCCTCAATCATTTCAGCCAATTGACCATCTGAGGCTTTTCTTTTTTAAATTAAAAATCTGCCAACACTGGAAGAAGGGACCTTTTCGCCTAAAACCTTTTGATCAAAATTGTTTAAGGGTATCTCATTCTCTGCTACCTCCTTCCTACCTCTCTAGAAATGCAAGAGGAGCCTTTAGACAATCTCTTGTGTGTTTTTTTTTTCCTCTTTGTGATGAACTGCTGTGCTGTTGAGCAGCGTTTTGCGTGTGAGACACGAGTGTTTCACACCAGAAGGAACTGCCACTGTGAAAGCGTTGGAGAGCCTCTATTTTTTTATGATAGTCGTTAAGGTTAAGGTCGCTCTCCTTATTGGGTAACATAAAATCACTCTCTCTCTCAATTTTCCCCCCATTAGGAGCAGTTGCCCTCGACTCCCCCCAGGATCCTGTTCCCGTCAGTTCTGTGTCTCTTATCCCTCCTCCTCCTCCGAAAAACGCAGCGCGCATGCTGGCCCTAGCGTTAGCCGAGTCCGCACAGCAAGCATCCGCCCAGTCCCTCAAAAGGCCAGGAGATGCTCATGCTGAAAGCACAAATTATGGAGAGGCTGAAGCTGGCACAGCTCTAGAAAAGCTCCATCTCTCTGCTGGCGCTCCAGACAAGCTCCACCTGTACACCGGTCTGCCCGAGAACCGACTCCACTTCCAGACCGGGGCTCCCGTAGAGCAGGAATTCCAAGGTAGCGGCGCAGCCGGGGAGCAGAACCACCCACCCGGTGCACCTGGAGGCCAGGACCCCCCGCCTCTCCACACGGGCATGCCTGGGGACATGCCTGGGAGCAGAGATGCAGAGCAGGAGCAGTCCAGCTTCCATCCTGGCAAGGCGGGGGACGGTGACCACTTCCCCGCGCAGGCGGGGGACTGGGAGCACCCGGCCCAGCACGGCCCAGAGCGGGAGCCGCCCGCCACAGAGCCGTCTGGGGACAAACCCCAGCTCCGTGCCTGCCTGTCTGGGGACAAGCTCCACACTCCCACCTGCACAGCCGAGGACAAGCTGCCGTCTCCTCCCGTGGCACCTCCTGCCGGGGACAAAGGCGCCCCGGTGCCGTATTTAACCACCATCCCCAGCGCAGCCGCCGAGCCCCCGCAGGGGGATGGCACCGTCCCAGCCGTGCCACGCGCAGCCACGGCCGCCCAGCCCGCCCCAGCACAGAGGCAGGACCACCAGGCAGCCACGGGACAAGTGCCAGCAGCCTCCAGCAAAACTCCAAGTAGCTCTGCTCAGGTACGTCCTCGTCCGGGCACAGCTGAGCTGTAACTGCATGGGGGGAGCTCTGGGAAAGTCGGGCCCCCTCAGGAAGGGAGGGTTCACAGGTCACTGGAAGGGATGTGGGTACAACACAGACACAGCCCTTGCTACTTTCCTATGTGGGCATCCCAGTATACCCACTCTCCTTGGTTTGAAGGAGAAAACGTGTCTGCAGTGGTGACTGACACAGGGCATGCTAGTTCAGCAGTGCTCAGAAACAGAGATTTGTGCATCCTCTGACAATGTTCTTCCAACATCCTGTGTAGGATCTTGTCCAACCAGGGACAGCACAAGAGGACATAGTCTTAGACCTCCCCTCGTGCAGCTTAGGTTGGACATGAGGAAGAAATTCTTCATGGAAAGGGTGACTAGAGAGTGGAAGGGGCTGCCCAGGGAGGTTTGGAGTCCCCATCACTGGCAGTGTCCAGGGAAGGCCTGGATGTGGCACCCAGTGCTCTGGGCTGGGAGACAAGGTGGGGATCGGTCAAAGATCAAGCTTGATGATCTCTGAGATCTCTTCCAACCTCAGTTATTCTGTTAACAGAGCAGGTCAAATTCCTTGTGCAGGGGTTCCTTGTGCAGTGTTCCCTCAGGAATCCAAACCACCTCAGCCCATGAAGCGTGTGCAGCTTAAGCCTGGCCTAAGCTCCATAGCCACATTTAGGGCAGGAATTTCTGCTCTGTTACGCTGTGTGATCTGCTCACCAGGGCCTGAGGAGGCCAAATCCAGGGGCATTTTCATTAAGGTGATACATTTAAAAGCAGAGCATTTAACAAAACGCTGGGTTCAGTGGGTGAAGAGGCAGCCACCTCCTCCCCTTCGTGTGGTTTGGCATTTGCAGAACACACCAGTTGTGACGGGTCCAGAGTGCCGGTGGCACTGTTCCCCTTGCTGGGGGAGGGAACCTGCACATCTCTCCTTCCACAGCCGACAGGAACCAGGCACAGAAGCACTGAAATGGGGCTGACCCACACGAGTGTCTGTGATATTTTAACTGCCAAGCAGGAGGGTGGGAAGCTGCCTGTCCCTGACTTGTGCTGCTTTCCTCCCTGCAGGTGTGGAGCAGCGCTGCCCCTGAGAAGCCCCCAGAGCCTGCCTTTGTCCCCGAGAGCAACTCCACTGCCCGCGGCTCCTCCTCGGTGCCCGGGGGCCCCCAGGGCCATGTGGAGAAGCCCCGAGAGCCCACGAGGGCCCCCCCACTGCACCTGCGCTCCGAGTCCGTCCCGTCCCACCCCTCCTACAGCTTCACGCCCCCGGTGCCGCCCGTGAGGACGCTGGAGAGCAAGATCGCCGCGGCCATGCACTCCAACAGCACCGACCCCCTCAACAATGCCAACTACCACGCCTTCCTGGCCTCCTCCATGCTGGCCTCCTCCGTGGAGGAGGCGCTGCTGCCACCGCCGCCACCGCCCCCGCCCAAGCACGCCGTGTACGTGCCGCACCCCAAGCCCGAGAGCATCCCCGAGCCCTCGGGGCCGGACCCCTACCTGCACCCCAAGCCGGCCTCCATGCACCAGTACAGGCCCGAGAGCGTCCCCCCCCACGTGTACCACGGCAAGCCCGAGCCCCACCAGGCCTACCCGCCCCGCTCGGAGCCCCCCGGCTCGGCGGGCGCCCGCTACAACACCTACAGCACCCAGGCCAAGGCCGGCCCGGCCCTGCACTCCAAGCCCCGCAGCCGGACGGAGTTCGTGTCCTCGGTGAGCCCCACGGGGCTGCGCGGCGCCGGCTACGCCGAGGACGCTCCCCCCTACCCCACCATCCGCAGGGTGCAGTCCCTGCACGTGCCCACCCCCGCCGCCTCCGCCATCCGCTCCGTGCCCATCTCCCGCACCGAGGTGCCCCCGGACGACGAGCCCCTGTACTGCCCGCGGCCCCTCTACCAGTACAAGCCATACCAGCCCCACTCCGACTACCACGTCACGCAGCTCCAGCCTTACTTCGAGAACGGGCGGGTCCACTACCGCTACAGCCCCTACTCCAGCTCCTCCTCCTACTACACCACGGCCGACGGCGGCTTCTACGACCTGGATCCCTACAGCACCGTGCGGGTGCGGCCCTTCCACCCCCTGCCCGGCCGCGACTTCTCCTCGTACGCGGCGCGGCTGCAGAGCAAGGGGCTGTACCGCTACCCCAGCCTGGCCTCCTACCCCCGGGGGGGCCTCATCAACCACCTGGCGGGGAAGGAGCACAGCTTTGTCAGCAGGGACGTGCCCCCCGCCCCGGACATCAAGCACATGTACATGTCGTGGGACCTGGAGGACATGGAGAAGTACCGCATGCAGTCCATCCGCAGGGAGAGCCGCTCGCGCCAGAAGGTCAAGGGGCCCGTCATGTCCCAGTACGACAACGTGGCCCCGCCGCTGCAGGAGGAGCTGGGGGGGCTGGACGCCATCCACCTGCGCAGCAAATCCGATCCTGGGAAAACTGGCCTCCTCACGGTGGCGGAGGGCAAGGAGGGGAGGTACCCAGGCAAGGCAGCCACCCCCGAGGGGGACGAGCGGTACTACCTGCAGCACCCCGAGCCCGAGCTGGACAGAGCCCACTACCACGGGGACTACGGGAACGGGCAGCCTGAGAAGCCGTCCCTGCCCCAGAAGCAGAGCAGCATCCGCAACAGGAAGATGCACGAGCCGGGCGGCAGCACCAGCGAGCACAGGACGCACTTGCAGCAGGAAGCGAGCCATAGGCAGCCGGCCGAGCCCAAAAACGGGCCCCCCTACCCCGACTACAGGCCCAAAGCGGGCCCAGAGCCCTCCGAGCCCGTGGGCTACCAGCACTCGGGCAGCAAGTACATCCCGGGCGGCCAGGACACCCTGAGGCTGAACCACAAGGAGGGGAGGCTGGCGCAGGACAGGCCAGACGCGGAGAGGTCCCGAGCCAGGCCCCCTGCCCCCATGGAGAAGCACTCCAGAGACTGCTACAAGGAGGAGGAACACGCTGCCCCTCCCATGGCCCCGCCGCCCAAGCCCGAGCGGAGCCACAGCCTGCGGATGCAGCACCCCGAGCCCGCGGAGAGGGACTCGGCCCTGCTGTACCCCTACCAGACCCTGGGCAAGCGCCAAAGCACTATGACTGTGGTGTCCCAGTACGACAACCTGGAGGATTACCATACCCTGCCTCAGCACCAAAGAGGGGGCTATGCTGGAGCCGGGGGGTTCGTGCCCCCCGGGTTCCCCCACGTGCACAGCAGGACTTACGCCACGGCGCTGGGGCAGGGCGCCTTCCTGCCCTCCGAGCTGTGCCTGCAGAGGCCCGAGACAGAGGTCCATGTCGAGTGAGCTGGTGTGGGGGGGGAGGAGGGATAGAGTCTAAGCAGCCTCTGCTGGACAGTGGACTGTTTTATTTTTTCAGTGATGGAAAAAAAAAAAAAAAAAAAACCAAACAAAAAAACAAACCCAAACCCCAACCCTGCCCCCGGTGAGCAAAGCAAAGCCCCTTCGGCCCCCACTCACTGTTTTTATGTAGTAGAGCTCTAGCTTTTTCATGTAGTTTTGAGACAACTGGAAGGACAGGGCGGGCTGTTGGCACACGAGTGTTGCCAGAGAGGCCGGGCAGAGCTGAGAGAGGTGCTGTTGGCAGGGAGGGAAGGAGTTTTGTCCTTCCCCAGGCAGTGGCCGCCGCTCCCTCCCCACACGGTGGACTGTGCATGCAGCTCCTGTCTAGGCTGAGTGCCCTTCCCACTGCTGGCTGCCAGGAAAGGGGCTCCAGAGCACTGTTCTGCCCCCTCAGTTCCACAGCAGGAGTGGCTGGGCAGGGGGAAAGACTGCCCAAGGATTTTGTCCTTGGTTAGTGCTGAGGTCCTGCCTCTCCCTGGTGGGCAGTGGACCCACTGCAGTTGCTTCGAAGTGGATGGGAGCCTGTTTTGACTTCAAGGCTGTGGAATAGGCTCTGAAGCAAGACCAGAACACAACACACTTGTTGCATTGCTTGCTCAAGAAGCTGCTTCTGCCTACGAGAAATCCAATTACTTTACATTTCCGTGTTGTAAGCAGAGGGCAGCAACGGTAGCCAAGTAGGGCAGGTTTGCGTTTCTCACACCAAAAGAAAGAAAACACAAAACTACACCAAACCCTACACAGGCAGCTGGGAACAGCACACCCCTCCCATGCCAATTCCTCCTTGCTGCTGGGGCTCTGTGTCTCCAGATGAGCTCATTCCATCTCGTGGCTGGCCAGGCCGTGTCATCTCACTACACAACCCAGTAAAAATAAATACAGAAATCTCCATGGCAATTATGTCCAGCCTGTAAATCAGGGCCCACCTTCCCAGCCGTGGGAGTGACGAGTTTCCTGCATGAGCAGCTGCCCTGGGCCAGATCCTGCAGCTCTTCCAGCAGGGAATGCTCCTGCTGACCTTCACCTGAGGGGTTCTGCAGGCTCTGTAACCTCTCAGTCCCGTGTTGGCCAAGGGATCCCTGTGGAATTGTGGCACACACGGAGCAGTGACGTGCTGTCTGTGCTGTGTGCCCCAGTGCAGCTCCTCCCAGTGCTCAGTGAGTAGGGGCAGAAGGCCAGTGCACTGCAGAACACACTGATAACAGTGTCCAAGCTGTGTAAAAGCTTTCACATTGTTAAAAGCAGCCAGGCAGCATCTCATGCTTCCTCTCAGACTTCCCAGGACTCACCCCCCCCCTTTCCCCTCCCCCGTAAATTAAGCACATCCATCCCATTTAGGCAGGGCTTAAAAGCAATACTTGAGATTTAGGAGTTTTTACATGTTCACTGATAAATTCCAAGGCCATTCCTGTTCTGTGTGGTTGAAGAACTTCTCTGCCTGTTTTGAATCTCTGATGTTTTATTGAAAGCCTGGAGGTCCTGCAGTTAGCACACAGCTGCTAAAGGGAGCTTAGGTGGTGTTTTTGAACAAAAACTTTCATGGCTATTTTGGGACTTTTAAATCCTAAGGAAAACCTGCTTCTAGTAGCTGACTAGTCTGTAACTGTTTGCTTCTTTTAACCTTGGAGCCTTGTCTGGGGCTGTTCCAGTAACTACCTTCAGGTTCTGTTTTATTGTGCAATGCTGACGTTTTAAGCATTTTGTTTAGAAGAGTTCTCACATGTTATGAAAAGAAATTTGGCAGTAAGAAAAAAAAAAGGAAGAAAGAAAAAAAGAAAGGAAAAAAAAAAAAAAAGAAAGGAGAAAAAAAGCAGCACTGTGATCCAGGGTACCACAATCTCCTCGTGAGGAATTCCCGGGTAGAGGGGTTGGGGTTTTTGGTGAGGGAATGCTTTTTGCAGTGTTTTCTTCCGAGGAAAACTTAACAGAAGTACACAGAAGGGGCCATTAGGTGAGAGCCCTGGCCTGGGCCAGCCTGTCTCTATTGCTGGGAACTCCCTGGGAAAGGCTGCCCTGCCCGGCTTCCTCGGGATGAGCCGGGTGAGTCCGTGCTCTCAGCAGGGTGTGTGCTAGCACAGTGTCCCCACAGCTGCCAGTGCCCTGTGAGGTCTCCAGCTGAAGTGTTTGGTTCAGGCTCTTTGGGATTCAGGGAATGAGAGCTGTAGGTCGAACCTCTCTCTCCATGAAAGCCTTAACTCCCCCCTCCTGCCCCTCAGCACTCTCCTGACGTCCTGATTTTTGGCCTTACGTTCACCAGGACTTTCCTGCAACTATGGGGGGGGGCTGATGCCAGCTCCCACTAAGGGTAAATGCCTCTGGATTCTCCTGCTTGAAGCCACTGTCTCCCCTAGAGACCAAGTGCCGTCCTTGGACAGCTGCTGTCCCCCCACCCTGCTGGGATCCCCGCCTCGTGTGAAGTGCCAGGGGCGAAGCCCCTGCTTGCCCCATGGGAAACAAAGCTTTCAGCACCTTTCCAAGAGGTCTTCTGGAAGTGCACACCTGACGTGGATGGCTGCTAAAAACAGCCCTCTTGGGAGTGAGAAGGTCTCCAGGAAAGGAAGCCAGCAGAGGAGCGAGCACCCAGCCGTCCTCCCCTCCCTCCGAGGGCTGGAAGCTCTCTGAGAACCCCAGCTTGTGTCCCCCACTGCTGAGCCAATTCAGTTAATTCAACAAAACTAAAAAAGGTGAAGACTCCAGCTTTTCCCAGATAACACAGACCAGCACCTTCCTCTTGGTGTTGCTGCTGCCCGTGGCTTCAACATCCCGCAGGATCCCGCAGCCCCCAAAGCCATAGAGGGAACTCTGAGTTCTGCTCCTGCACTGGGCTTGGCCTGGTGGTCCTTACATCCTCGTGGATTGGTTCATGATAAAACATCAGCTGTGTCTTTCCAACAATCAGAGGGGAGATTGAGGAGGGTGTGTCGTGCATCAGGGCAGGGAGGGAGGTGACCTCGGGTGTCTGAGGTGGGTGAGCTGGGAGGAGGTGATGTTTCAGTGTCCCAGCTGAGGATGAGAGCAGGGGGACAGCAGTGCACATAACCCTCGAGTCCAAGAGCAGTTCTGCTCAGGCTCAGTGATCCCTGGCCTGACCACACCTGCAGCGAGGTGATGGCAGCCCCAACCCTCAGTGACTCCTGACACTTGCCATAATCTGCATCCTGAATTGCTGCTTCCCGAGTGTCCAGCCCAGGTCCTCCCTAATGCACACGGGAGTTTGGGGCCAACAGTGCCCCCCAACCCTGCATTTCCACCTCTGCTTTGGAGTGGGATGTGCAGTCCCTAGGAGGCCTCCCTTGGGAAGGGGGAGTGCAGGCGGTGGGTGAGTAAGGAGGGCCCAGCCCCTGTGAGGTCTTAAATAAAGCATTAATTTCTGATTTTTAGGGAGTCTTATCAGGTGAAACCTTTATGCATCTCTGAGAACACCCCCACAACCTCGTGCCTATGTCTTTGCAGTGATCCTCCTTTTCCATCAGCATGGGGGGGGGGGTCAGTAAGGATTGCACACTGGTAGTAAAGTTGCTACACAAAACCAAAACCAACTTGAAAACATCCTGTTCCTCTTTCACCCCAGAAAGGGACAGAACCTCAAGTGTGCTCTGCCACTGCCCAGGGCATGGACTGAAGTGATGTTACATGGCAGGAAACCTGGATGAGAAGCCGTTTCCCTTCCTTTTGCTCTTGGCAGCTTGGGCATGCTCCTCTTCCCAGAGCTTTTCCCAGATTCCCGTGTGAAAGGCATGGTCTGGTGTGAGCAGTGTCCAGTTCCTGGTGTGCAGAGTCCTGCCTCGTCCAGCTGGGGGGAGGGAGGGGGGAGAAAAGGGTTGTTTTGCCGTTCATTTTCCTGCTGTAGAAGACTTGATTTTTTCTTTCCCTGAGCCGCATGAGAGAAACATCCCAGAAAGTCTTGGGTTACCTTTGGAGTTCCCTTCACTTTAATTTATATAGTGTCTTTTTTTGTGAACTGGTGTAAAATGTATATGCTGACAAGCTCATGTATTTTTATGTAAATATTTTTTGTGGTTTTCCCCACTTGCCCCTCTCTGTAAATATTTAGAATTCTCATATTCTTCTCACCTTGTATGATGCAGATGTGGTTTTGTTTCTGTTTTTTATTTGTACTGTAATGCAACAATCCAGACTGAGGTGTCTTGTGGTATTAAACAAAAGCAACAGTCCCACTGAGCTCACACTCAGATGTGCAACTTGACAGCATTAATCAAGCCAGGTTAAAAACTACTCCGGTGTGTTTGTGTGCATTTTTGCCTCTGCCTCGTTAATTAAGTGCATTTAAAAAACAAAGCAGGAGGAACCAGTTTGGGGCCCTTCTTTGGAAGGCTGCTGGCAGGCAGCTGGGGATGAAGGAGGTGACTTTGAATCCATATGCCAAGGCTGGGGCTTATCTGTGCAGTTAAACCAGGGCTGCTTCCTGACAAAAAATAAACCAGCCTGGGCTGTTTGAGCCTCCCTTTCCTCTCGCCCAGCACGACAGCACAAGGAGAAACAGCTTGGCCCTGGCACAGGAGGCACAAGGCAGATGAAGTGAGGACAAACAGATGGCACAGCCACCTTGGCCCTCGGGGCTGGCAGGAGGGGTTCTGGGCACCACAGCAATAGTGGTCAGAGTTAATTAATAGCAAAAAGGTGATTAAAGGAAGTGAATTTCAAAGGTTTTTAGCATTGCGAGGAGGACTTCTGATAAGTCTTTTCATCCAGGAAATGTTGTGTTCTTTAGAATTGCTGCCAGGAGTAAAACCAGCTTAAATGCTGCTCTCCTGGCAGGGCAGGTGACCCTGCTGTCCACGTGGAGCCCTTGGGACACGGGGTGACACGGGGTGACACGGGGTGACACAGGGTGACATGGGGTGCCATCCAGCCTCTGCCTTATGGGCCTTTGTGAGCACAGAGGGGCATTAAAGCTGTTGAAATATTTGCTCCCAAATCTTACCTTTCCATCCAGATCTCCTTATTAATGCACACCCCACCTGAGCAGCGATGCCCATGTAAGGTCTCACCCAGAAGCTGAGCAGCCCA